ACTAACACCATTCCTTATTGCATTAGGAATGATGAATCTATATTAGGCCCTCCCCTAGATCATTGGGCCGCATATAAGGCTCGAAACCGGCCCAGTTCGGTAAATTGACCATAACTTCCTCAATATTCATCGGAATTGGGCTTATAATATATCGTTGGAAAGCTTTTGTCAAGACCCATCCAACTACACTACTATTGGACCCATATCATGGACCAACCATACTGGATTGGCTTTTTTCTTAAAATAAGTTTTCAAAAACAAAGAGAAGAGAAAAGAATTAAAACTATCCGCAACACTAGACTTTCCACACTTTCACTTCATTCGATTATGATTCGACGTGAAAGGTACTCATCATTGGGCTTGGTTTTGGGGAGACACAAATGGGTGTCTACACCACTACAACCACATCCGAATTTAAAAGAACAATATAAGAGCATTAAATGATATAACAGGTTATAATATATCTTATTCAATAAGGTGTAATGACATTATACCAAATCTGTGGTCTGGTTCAGCTGTCCGTGGGATAGTTGATAGAGGCTGATAATTCGGAACAATTAGCCCTGCTTCTGGGTTTAAACTTTGAATAACAGTCTGCTGTCCAATAGTCATTTGATATGGAAGTTCCTCGATGTTGAATTTGTATTGCTCATCAACAATGCCTATAGGTGCTCTAGAAATCTCATATTTTCCAGTGGGCTTTAGAACATCGTCGTAGGCTCGGATTTTCTCTCCAAAATAGGCACATCACATTTTGTTTCTCTGTGTTATACACATTATTTCAAAGAGCAATTCGAAAATATGTGTCAAAGTTGGCATATTTTGGCATAAAAGAATGAGATGTGATTTAAATTAAGTATTAGCAAAAAATTAGCCATTTTTCATGATCAATTACTTTAGAAGTATTATCTAACAATTACACCTTATATAAGTTGGTTATGCAGATGTTAAATTCATACACGAGTAATATAAAGTGGTCTGTGACATCTCCTTTGAGAAGCTAAATTTTCACAATTTCATCTTCTTTTGCCCTTTTCTTTTTTTTCACCATTTATAAGCTTTTCACAGCAATTAAGGGGATTTATTAATACAGCATGCATGAACAACTGATAAGGATCAAAGTCTGTGGTAAAAATTCACTAACCTTTTCATCCTGTATAATGAGAGTCTGATACAACAATCCAGGTTTTTTGGGAGACTCTCATGGGCGACCCTTTTCAGCAACCGTGACTTTTACCTTGTAATCTTTACTTTTTGTATTAAGTTCGTCTAAGTATACTGGTTCAAGCTTCATATTGCAGATTATTTGTAGCCTATGAAGAGTACATACAATAATTCAAGTCATATATCCATAAGCATAACTAATTTATTTGTAAGAAAGGAATTTAAGACATAGTAGTACTCATAAAAGAGCCAAATAACAGAACAAATATAATAAATCTTCATCTATATGTTTATGGGGACTAACTACACATGCCTACATATGTAAATAGTTTATATAAGCAGCTATTTCAATGTTAAAAAGGCATGATATTGCTAATCAAATAAGTTTGGGAGCGCTATAAATAACACGAAATGTTGCTAGTGAAAGATTTGTGTTGGATTCAAGAATATTAATACATGTATCACTTTACATATATCACACTCGGTCTTAAATATCATGCAAGCTACCATAACAGAATTCAGATTGCATAATTAATTCATAGGGAATCTTACAAAAGGAATTTCTACTATATAATAAATAAGCAACAAATATAATTTGAGAGTAAATGCTATTCATTATATGCAATATGTAATGTCATAGTATAATAGTAGAGAATATTCGGAGACGTGAACTGGATTTATATTACAATCATTCATTAAATTCTATTTCATACACTAATATAATATGCAGTGAGTTTGAATTATATTATACACATATATGAAGATGAATATGTATTTAACATTATCATGTAAACAATAGGCTTGCATAAAATTCATTATATTATGAATGAAAGGCTATAAAAATAGAAGTACCTTAATCGAGTTGTATAGTTGCAGAGCTAAAACTGGTGATTTAGTTGTTGAAGGAATTGTGCTATTTATAGTAAAAATTGAGAGACAACAATTTAGCAAGTAGTCAAGTAAAGTATACAGAAAATCTGATAACAACAGTAAGCATCCCATACCCAGTATTGGCTTCTAAAGTGTTGCAGTACAATTGAGCATTTTACAAATATAATAATATAAGTAAGTTGAAATCTTTCTTTGGGTCAATATTTTTTCTAGTAATGTTTTTTGGAGAAAGAATTTAAAACCAAAAATCACTTCTACAAACATTTTACTGTCAATCAAGTAATGATTTGTATAGTGTGGAGAAATTGTGTTTGCTAATATTTAGGGAAGAATAGGGAAAATAAGCAAATAAGCACTTTTTAAAATATTTATCTTTTATTAGCTCTCCTTTTTTTTTTTCCTTCTGTTGTCCTTTTTTCTTTTTCTTTTGCAAAATTTTGTATTTTTTATTTTAACAAAAAAAGGGGAAAAATTTTAAAACCAAAATCTTGTCGTGTTTTTTAAGGGAAGAATAATAAAAAAAAAAACAAAAAATCACTTTTAGAGACATTTTGATATCAATCAAGCAGTAATATGTATAATAAGAAAAGAACTTGTTCTTTGAAGTTTAAGGAAGAATTAATATACTAAGAAAGTGAAAAATAATTATCTCTCTTTGCTATGCTTTTTTTTTCCCCTCTTTTTTTGACTATTTTCATTTATGGGTAAGTATTATCCTGGTTGGTGGATTCCAAGTTCTAGATCTTACTTGTTTATTTATGTTCATGTTTAGATTTTTTTTTTTCTATTTTTTTGCTTTTTCTGGGTTGCCTTTTTTTCTGTATTTTAAATCTTAATTTTTTTCGTGAATCTCAATGATTTGAACAAGTACAACCATTTACCTTAATAGTAGTATTGACCAACTGTTCTATTTTTCTTGTATTGACCAGCTGTACAATTTTTTTTTTTTTTTTAAAAAAGGTATTAACTAAGACAGCTTTTTTGTTATCTTAAACAAATGTTACTTATGTAAATTCAATATATGGATTGGGCCTATATTGATGATTAGAAACAGCTACAACTTTATAGAGTCTAGCCCAATAAGTGTTGGTTATAAACCAATAATTTTGGCATTGGATTTATTGTCCAAATTAAATTATTTCTGTTATTATTTAATTTCCACTTAGGTGATAGACAATGTTAATACTAATCAGGTAATGCATAAGGTTGTTAATTTGCGTAATAATAATGAGGTTATACTTTTTTTTTTGGTTATTTTTTCCCCTTATTTTAAAAAAATTAAAATAAACCGTTGTTTAGGAATACACATTAGATACTATCTTAGAAATTCAATATATACTTTTATAACTTATTTGTACAAGATTTTGTCTTTCGTGTTCTACGAATATCGTTGTCTAGGGGTAGATGTCTTTCTTGTTCAACGTTTGACGGAATTAAACCGTAGAAACATAAAACAATTGTAAAAACTTAAGAATTAGCAATAAAAGATAATGTGGATATTTTTATCAGAGTAATGACATAGTAATAATTTTTTTTGCTTTCTTAATAGATCTGTCCTTTCTAAAATCCTAATACATGAAATCTTTTCTAAACAAGTTACCATAACAGTAAGTCAGACCTGTTGTACTTTATGCTTGTATATTAAGCAAAGTATTATTTTAAAAACTGAGAAGAATGACTAAATTATCTAAGCTTACTTGTGTGAATTCAAATATGGACTGGGCTCGTGTTATTATAAAGAATTACTATAACTTTATAAAGTGTAGCCCAATAAGTAATATCCATAATCTGAAAATATTTGTATGTTTGTTACATGCTATATAACGGGATAAACATGATTACTTTTTCAATCATAGTATACTGTAATTTATTAAACCGCAAAATCAATTTGCTTGACCATAACTCCTTTACTTTTTTGTTTTTGTTTACTCTAAAACATGTTTGTTTGTTGTTTTTTCCTAGTTTTTCCTGTGTTATTTTTTTTTGTGCGTGTGGTTTTTTTTTAATTATTACAAAAAAAGGTGATATATCAAGTCTATTTGAATTGTTTGGTTTAAAATTTTAAAATATCCATATATTAAGAACAATTGTTATAAAAGAATTACTTACTCTAAGGATGGGTATTGACAGCATTGGACTTAATGTGGCAAAATTGCAAAGCGTCGAAAAACCTTTGGACACGTGATCGAAACCTATAGTTGCATTGAAGACGGGACTTTACTGTACTAAGTTTTACCAACCGGCAATTCAATCTAGCAAATTTGCTACGTGAACTTTAAATTTAAAAATTAAACTATAAATGCAAAGTTCAAAATTTTCCTTATTTAGAAGTTTTGAATTTAGAAGCAATGTAAGTGTGACGTACATGTCAGACTACATGTATAAGTTTTTTTGATTTGCATTTGTCACTTTAATTATGTATCTTTATACTTGGTCATTATTAATAATCCGCTTGTACAGATAATTACTTTCAAAGATGTATTGATTGGCCAATAACCATAACTTGTGTATGGTAATTAGATAGCACATTAATTAGTAACATTTTTGCTAGTGTTCTCTTTCCTCTTTGTCTACTTACTAAGCATATTCATTGTTTTACTGTCAATGAATGGTAGCTTTTTATATTGTAACCAGTGTAAGATATGTTTTTTTAAAAAAGGTTCACATGCCTATAGTTAATATGGAGATTCTATACAAGGACATAAAGTGCTTCCTGACTTTAAAGTCTTAATCCCTGGCATGTATTATATAATGAAATGGAAATATGCTTGGAAATCCATAAGTTCTTAAATCCTTAGTAGCCATCTTGTTCTAAAAAAGATGATATGCACAGTTTATATTTAATATGCTAATTTGATCTCTTATATGTGCATACAAAAGCATTGCTATTTATGTCTTACTTACCCCTCCATCTTTTGTACTGTTAGGTTGAAAATAATAGTCTAATGAAATGGACACTAAGAATAGAAGAAGAGCATAAAGATATTGCAGTATGTATTTATTTTTATAGTTTTAAATGTGTTGTGCCACATATATGCATTCCTTTTGTTAATTTCCTGTTCGTTTGTTACGTTTCAGGAAATTCCTGTTTCTTTTTATCATATTCTGTCTACACAATGTGGAGCTGCACAAATTTTCAAAGGCTGCGGTGGACCAGCATGGGATATTGTTATCAGAAGAACAAAAGTTGGGAATATGATTAGAGGAATGTATATCGAAGGAGGCTGGAAAGAATTTATTTTGGATAATGATATTGAAGTTGGAGATACTCTAGTAATGTATTACAAAGGTAGAGGTATATTCCACACTCAAATATTCTCCTATCATGGTCATGATAAGACTTATGTAGATATACCAGTAACTCAAACCATAGTTACTCGAAGGAGGCTTCCACTAAATGCTGCAGAATTGGAACTCCATTTAAGGCAAATGCAAGCAGAACGTCCTGAGCCTTCATTTACCTATATCTTTGATGTTCGTTGTATTCATCAAGGGAGTATTGTAGGTTTTCTGTTTAGTAGTTTATGTGTATCATGGTTATATATGATAGAGCTATTTGTAAAAAGTTGATGGATGATCTGTGTTTTTCAGGTTGTACCTGTGCCATTTTCTAGGATGCATTTTTCTGAAGCAGGTCAATGCACAGTCGTTCTCCTTCGCCATAGAAGTAAGCAATGGTGTGCTGAGCTACAAATTGTTCGAGAACAGAACATGATCACATCATGCAAACTTAGTAATGGTGTGAACATGTTCTATGAACATGCATGTGTTGTTGCTGGTCTAGGTGCCTTAGTCATATATCGACAAGGATATCCTCTACTATTTGAGCTGTTGCTTGGCTCAGCTTAATTATTCCTGGAACTTGCTTTAAAGCCTATCTGTATACCTTTTGCGGTAGTATCTAAGCGTAGTAGTTTAATAGGTTAATGTGTCGTTAGTAAGTGCACTATATACTAATCAATATCAGGGATGTAGGCTTAGTTAAGTAATGTTAGTTCCTTATGCTTGGTAATCAGTTTGCTATTATATTTGTGTAATCAAAGTATAATGTAAGATTTTAATTTGTGTACGAAGTAGAAATGAAATTCAAAATTTGGCTGTGAATTCCATTGAATTGCTCTGTAATATTAAATTTAAAACATCAAAAATGCACTAACCAAGTCTATAATATATTTTGTCCACTTTAGATATCATATCAATTAATTCATATAATAAAAGCATTTACTTATTGTGAAGGCTATTGTAATAGTTTGACAACCCAAGTTAATTGCAATAGCTACATGTAGAAAGCACAATAGGTTATATAACTGGAAGGATCACAAGAGCAAGTACGTCTTTTGAAGGATCAAGTATTGAAATACAAAACAATATAATTAATATTGAAGTGATTGTTTGAACCAATACATTAAAAAGGAACAAAAGGAGTAATAATGTCATTTGCAAATCAGAGCTGTTTTTTTTTTTCCTATGTTAATTTGCTGGAATTATCAATTAAGTAGAATATCGTATAAGCATTTTCTAAATATTAGGCAGTTAAATACTATACATAGCATTTTAGTCAAATACATATCAATTGTGGTAATTATCATGTAAAGGGATAATAATCCTGGTCAATTAGAAGGTTAAGAGATACAGAGTAATGGTGAACTTCTTATAATTTATTATAATGGCAATCGAATCTTTTATGTACAAATATTCTCCAACTCAATGGTTGAAAGGCTAGGCTCTCTTGAATCTATGCAGAGCAGTGTCTCAAGTAGCAGAATTGATACTTTTAGTTTTGATTTAAATGAGTGTTTTGGCATTGGAGACAAGTCTTGGTTCCCTTGGGTGATTACATTGGCATGCTTTCAAAGAGATTACTTGGTTTGTACTTTTTTTGCTATGCTTAAATCATTAAAACCATAGGCTCAACTATCTTTATCACAATTTGATTTTTCGGAAATTTCACCATATACCACTGAGTTTAAGCTTAATTCACCGTATACCACCAAAAACTTTCTAATACACCAAATACCACTCAATTATTATACATTAACATGAAATGCCTTTTTGGCTAACTGTCGTTAGTGAGCCGTTTGGGGTAATTTACCATTTCACCATGTACCATTTTATGTAAAAAACGTTTTCACCATATACCATGTTTTAAAAGTTATTTCACCATTTACCCATTTTTTGGAAACGGTATTATTTTCAAAAAACTAGCAGTTGAACACTAATAACGGCTAGTTTGTTTGATATATAAATGGAGTGTTTGAGGGATTCACGTAGTACTTAACACTTCCAAAATCATTTCTAAAAGATGTCCACACACTCGAGATCATCATCTTCCTCTTTCGATTTTTCGTATGTAAAAGTATCTAACAAAGCTTGTTGTTGTGGTAGGAAGTTTGCAATAAGGAGCTCAGATTCGGCAAGAAATCCACAACGGTTGTACTATAAGTGTGATGTATGTGAGACATTCAGATGGTGCAAGAGTTATGTGGAGTAAAATGTCGTATCGGGTTACGATAATCAAAATAGGGGAGGGATAAACACGCAATTGTATGGAGGTGAGAGCTTGTTGAAGCAAGAATTGAAGAACCTCAAGAGAAGAGTAGCAAGACAACAAAAGATAGTATACATAGCAATTAAAATAGGAGTACTTATGTTTTTTGTTATTCTATTTGTAGCGTTAAAATGATCATTGTAAACAAAGTATCATTGCTAAAAGTAATATGCATTAGCATTCTTAGCTCTATTTTGGTAAAAGAGCACTTTTACATACGAAAAATCGAAAGAGGAAGATGATGATCTCGATTGTGTGGACATATTTTAGAAATGCTTTTGGAAGTGTGAAGTACTATGTGAATCCCTCAAACACTCCATTTATATAATAAACAAACTAGTCGTTATTAGTGTTCAACGGCTAGTTTTTTTGAAAATATTACCATTTCCAAAAAATGGGTAAATGGTGAAATAACTTTTAAAACATGATATATGGTGAAAAAACTTTTACATAAAATGGTATATGGTGAAATGGTAAATTACCCCAAACGGATCATTAACGGCAGTTACCCAAAAAGGCATTTCATGTTAATGTACAATAATTAAGTGGAATTTGGTGTATTAGAAAGTTTTTGGTGGTATACGGTGAATTAAGCTCAAACTCAGTGGTATATGGTGAAATTTCCGTTGATTTTTTTGTTCCATTACCGGGTGACTATTTCATCATAATAAGCATTTTATATGAACACCTTGAATATACCATTCTTTATTAAAAACAATGTATAAATTTGGTTTCTTCAGGTTTTGAATGACCATAAGTAACCTAAGGAGACCCATCACCAAGCATAATGGTTTGCTAACTACATGAATTATAACACAGACAGTTACAGTGGTTAATCTTGCAATAACTCATAAAATAATTGCTGTATTAGCTTCATTATTGTCTGAAGATTCTAGAATAATTTCATTTTTCTTAGTTTTTACTTGTACTTTTTTTATAAAATTTGGTATAAAAGGTAAAGTATACAAACTGGTCATTTGTTCAATAATTGATATTGTTGTCTGTGTGTTGTATGCTATTTGGAATCTTTACAATATTAAAGAATCTTTCATAACACATGAAGCTTTGCAGTCTGTATACAGTTATAGTCAAAATTCAATCAGTAGGGTTATCACTTTGGTAAGTGCATATCTCTAACTTGATGCAAGTTCTATGAGCATGCTGATATAACAAGACATATTGTGCTTGTATATAGACCTGTTTCACGCATGCATAACTGTCAGGACTATCTCAATGAGAAAGGAACCTATAGATCTTGTCATGAAAGGAGTCCCCACAAAATGAAAAAAGCATACAGTATCAATCTATAGGATTCATTTATAAGAAATGGAAGTGGCAGTTATATTTTTCATATAGAGCTGAATATATCAATAGCTAACATTGAATTTTAAGAATAGAGCCTGATACACAGCTTTTCTGAGAAGTGCAAAATGAGTAGAAACCCTCCAAGTTATATTATGCAATTCCATAACTGCCATAGAAATGCCATGGTATGTTAAATTCACTTCAATGAAGCTCGACATTAGGAGCTAGATTTTTTACCTATTTATTCACTATAGTATGATTGATTTGTATATATAACTTTCTCATTAAAGTATTCATATAAACATTCATCTTTCAAAGTATACACATCTATATTTATATTCTGTGTTTGCAAGTGTATGAGTGACTGTGTGCATATATGATACCACCATATTTTTTGATATATGTCCTTTCCTTTTGTATGTAGCCTCTCCCAGGTAGCTGGAAGTCTTTCCTGTCGACATTTACAGGTCCTGTATGTCTACAACGTGACACCGGAGGGCCAGTATGGCACGTTGAATTGTTGGGTGCTAATATCAATGAAAGTCATCGTATGTTCCTGTACACCGGATGGGAGAATTTTGTCACTGATAATCAAGTAGAAGAAGGTGATATTCTGAGTGTACGCTATGTAGGTCATGGGACATTCTCTATTCAAGTGGCAACTATCGCAGATGACGATCATAACAATTGAAATTCTAGTTATCCAAGCTAATGCTAGTCATTTTAGCTGCACAAATAAGCTAGCCCATGTGTTTCTCTATTTAAGCTTCACTTGTGTACTGTAAGCTAGTTAGATTAGTAAGCAAGATTGTGTCGTTTTTAAAACCAGTGAGTATGACTTTGCTTACTGAGTTAATGTAAGTGTAATCTCTGTATTATCATCAGTTGGTCATTATTATAATAACAACATCTAAACCATACACCTAAATATCTTGAATGATCCACTTAGCCATTATCTACCTTGAAATCAGAGTGTTTGATAACTGATAATTGAGAATGCTAACCCCTTATAGAATTTCAATTATCAGTTTCATGGGGGCCATATCACTTTGTCCATATGATAACTTGTGTAAAAAGTCGATAACAAAAAATATGTCATATAGTCTTACAACACAATCGAGTTACATACAAAAGTGATAGAACAACAGTGAACTCGTGTAACTAATAAGATTATGATTATATGATTCAGCAATACTACAATTGAATCACATTGAGCAGTCTAATTTCTTAATGACCATGAATAAGTAAATTCAAATATAACAGAAGCACACAAAACAGGAATTATTTAAATTGTCCCAAACAACACACAACATATTATGCTAAACTGCAAAAAAATTGAGAACATACCTTTCATCCATATTGTGGTTACATAACAGACTCAGTTATGTTGCTCCATACCTGTCTTAATAATTCCTGCTAATTTTAGAACTTCATATGCCACTACATTTTTCACAGAGTTCCATGGAAACTGATCTGGTGGCTTAGCGTAGTAGACAGTTACATCCTTTGCTTTTTTAGCCCGAGACAGAGCAACATATAATTGTCCATGAGAAAAACATGGGCGCGGAAGATGAATAGCCACCTGGTTAAGTGTTTGTCCTTGAGATTTATTAATCGTCATAGCAAAGCTTAACTTGATAGGGAACTGTTTCCTTTCAAAGTGGAAAGGATAGTTTACAGATCCAGATGGGCGTAAGTTGATCCTGTGTATGAAGACATGATCTCCTTTGTATTTCCCTGTAGCAATCACACATTGAATAACATTTGGGAAGAAACGTTTACAAGTAAGGCAAGTGCCATTGCATAAACCAGATGAAGGTAAGAGATTCCTTAGCAAGATAACAGGACAATTTTCTTTGAGCACAAGCTCATGAGGGCTCATTCCACCAGGACATAGGCTATTTATGAACTATGTAGGGTATACATTACATGAATCGTTTAGTATGGCATCAAAGCTTCTGTATGTAACAGATTCTACTCTAAATTGTTCTATCATGAATGCATTAATAGAATCCACTTCATCATTTAATGGTGTCAAAATTGCCTGATTGATAAAAGTGTCAGTACATAGATTACCTTGAATCATTTCAGGGAATGTCATTCTCATTAGATCATACACTAAATCTTCTTCACTTTCACTAAACTATGCAATATTAACTGGCAACTTAACATAAGAAGACTCTGATTCTTGCAGCTCACCATTACCCAAAGCAAGTAAGAATTTAGAATACGGTAAATCATCTCGTGCTCTAATATTCTCTATTAATCTGAATTTTATAAATTTCTGCCATAAATATGAAGTAACAATACTGCTGTCCACAGATTCTTTCATTGATTTATGAGGAACAACTGGCAGAACCTGCCTGAAATCACCTCCGAACACAACGATTTTACCTCAAAACATTATTTTGTTTCCGCGTACATCCTGCAGAAGTAGATCTATTGATTCAATATTCTGTTTCTTAGCCATTGAAGCTTCATCCCAGATTATTAATGTAGTCTCCCTAAGTAGTGCCACCAAGCTACCTTGTTTAGGCACATCACAAGCCAAAGAAGCATCACTATCAAGTGGGATCTTAAACCTTGAATAGGCTATGCGACCTGAAGGTATATTTGATGCAGCAATGCCTGATGTAGCTGTAGGATATACAATCTTGTTCATAAGTCGTATCTCTGCATACAAAGCATTATACAAATATGTTTTTCCAGTCCCTCCTGGGCCATTTATAAAAAAAGGCGCCTGGTTTCCCTTCCATAACATATTGCATAATACATGAGAAAGCAATATTTTGTTCATTGTTAAGCCTAGAACGACATGTAAGACATTCCTCTGGTATAGGAGCATCAAGAGCGTCCACAATATCTTTCGTCCATTTCAGTTCAACAGCAACTTGAGCATTTAAATGCTCTAAACTAAATGATGAAAGCGATTTTCCCATAGCTTCTAGATCCCTCTCAATAGACCGCACAGTAAGCTGATGAATCCTATGGGCATTGTTACCATACTTGTAGTTGAAATCTTCAGACAGAAAAGGGTAAAACTTTAGCCATAGAGAATAAGGATCTGATGACTGACAAAACATTAATACTGCTGCAAATAAGCGTCGAAAAGCAGCAGACATTTGGACTTCAGAAGCTTCGGACAATGTCAAGTCTGTAGCATCATCACGTTCTACTAATCCTAGCTTCAAAGCTGCATCCTGGAAAGTTGAATATACATGCCCGTTCACAATTCAAAGGTCTTCAAACGAAGTTGGGCTTCTTACATGGAGCAACAATAATCTTAAGAAAAAGCGTTCTCCTTCCATAGGATATACAAATGCCAAACGCCCAACACAAAATTTATCTTGAACCCTTTCTTTCCATTCTTTTTTACTTGCTTCCCATGTGTAATGCTCACAAAATTCACGATATAGGTGCCCTATTCCACCTTCAACCGCTGCATTAATTGCAAAGAATTATGTCAACTGAGTGCGAGTACGTTTAGAATTAGAAACAACAACACGCAATCTCTCATGAGGATGCAGATTGAACAGTCTGTGCATTAGGAAGATGAACTTGCAGAGGGAGTACTAAAGGATACATTTCAAATAAATCAAAACTGAAGATTCTCCACGCAGCGTCACAAGGAGAAACCCACCTACCTGACTGGAATTGCTTAATTTCATCAAGTGTGTTTTGATTACCAGGTACTATATTAAATGAAACCCTATCATGACCCATGTACACATACTTATACAAATACTTTACTGCTTTTATAGTTGAACAAACCTCAACATTCAGATGGCAATCAAACAATGAAGAAAGATAAGGATTGTAAGGAATAACCCACTGATTATCAAGATATGTATTACGTATTTTCACCCTTTCACCAGTATCACGTCTTTTGTAGATAGGATAACCATCTTTATTGTTAGTTGTTTCATCTGCAAATTGTTTAGGATACTTGTTTTTATAGGTTTGAACACCATGTCTTGTACGCATACATGGACATTCTGGGTTCAAACTACCACAAGGAACATGCATCATATGTGCAAGCACAGTTTTACGCAACTTACTATTGGCAACAGGTGGTATTTCAGCACACACAAATTTGTCATAATCAGCAGGACACTTCATTTTCCATTCTGATTTCAAAATAATTAGGAAATGAGCATGGGGGTAATCCTCTTTTCTGGAACTCTACGACATACACCATAGCAGCTACCTCACCGAATATATTTTTTTTCCATTATCTCTTTCTTCAATACAAGTAATTTGGCTCTAAAAATCCTGGCCACTAAATCAGGCCTATCTTGTGCTGTCTCACCGAGTAATAACTCAACCTTTATCCCAGGCCAGTTAGCATTGCAAGTTATAGTAACAAACAAATCAGGTTTTCTGTATCGTTGAACCAAAGCCATAGCATTGAGATAACGTCTCTTCTTATCTCGAGGTCCTCCAATAAATGTTGGAGGTAAAATCACCCTACGCCCTACATCCGAAGCAACAGTTTCTCCAGAGTGTAGTGAATCCAGAATACCTTGATATAGTTCAGCCCGTTTACCCTCCTGATTATTGCGAAAGTAATCAAGGCGAGTGTTCTCAATTTTAACATACATGTCGACTATGTACTGCTGGAAAATCCTGCCAGCTCGCAACAACCAATTTTCAGGCCGGTTTGCAGCTTATAAGCATAATATTCCCTAGGAGAGATAAACTTATCTGCTCTAGTGTGCTTCTTACATGCTCCTGCATAGCAAGAACAACAATAGTTATTTACAGAACATTTATCTGATAGCAAAGAACAGTTTGCTACACTCATTACAACCTAGCAAGTTCTGGAAACATACGTTTGTCTTCTTCATTAAGCAAGTCTTCAGAACTGTGCACAGCACAAGAAACAATAGGATCTGGCAACGAAACAGCTTGTATTGTACCACCATGAGACTCCTTCTTTAATCCTTGTGTCCACCCACATTCCCCATGAGGAAATAATAACGGATACTGCAATGGATCATAACAACCATAGTTATGATAAATTTTATGAGGCTCATCAGATTTACCAGTAACTATGATGTGAGGGCTCAAACTCTGACTGGACGAAGCATTTTCTGGCCATATAACAACAAAATCATCCACAGCAGGTGCATTATAAACACGCTGATCTAACACTGTACTCAAATTGAGGACAATTTTTGTGTCTACACTAACTCTTCTTTCTCTCAGGGATCGAAATAACACTGCATATGGATTCTGCTGTGATATGCGCATTAGAATTTCAATCACATCTTGCCTAACCTCTGGAAAACACCCAAGTCTATTACGAGCTTCATGCTGCCCGTCATAGAAATACAACTGCAAATACTTTGGACCACCTTTATCAGGCAATAAATCTGGAACAAAATGGTACATGTGCCTGTGCATCTTAAAAACATATATGCCCTTGTATGTACTTGCATCAAAATTCCCTCCTATAGAACTGAAAGCAAATATGTTACTGTAAAACCTAGCATAAGTTTGAAAGTGTTCTGCATCTTCATCCGTAGAAGTAACAGACGCTTAAGCTCAAAAGGATACTCATTTTTTGCAATTCTTATTTCCCCGTCACCACAACAAAACTCCAAAGTCTCAAATGCAAACTTTCTAGCATCACATTTCATACAACATGTAGGGGAAGGTAGCTTCTGCCGCTCTGCCGGCAATGGCTGACCTATTACAACAGCAGGAATAACTGGTATAGTTACAGATGTATTAATAAAACCATCTATGTATCATAACAAACAAGTCTTAACACTCACATTAACATTAACTACTTTAAAACGTACATAATGGGTTAGGCATTGGACGAGTCTTCCTTTTCTTGTGTTTTATCTTACTGCATATATGAACAATATCATTATTACCTGTTTTCTATAAATAAGCTGCAAATTTGATAAATAGACCATGTACCTCTTTGCCTGTGGCTGAGCTATTCTATCAATACAACGCTCTTTCTTAGATATACGTGTACGACATTTTTTTTTACTTGCAAGATGATCATTAAGTACACCAAATAATATCAAACAAACAAAACACAACCAATGTCAATCGCATGAATTACATACATAACACAAACATATCTACACTACATTCAGCACATGTTACCTTTGGGAAGCCTGACTGGTACCAGTGTCACATGTAAAAGGTGCACACGGTGTTTCAGCTCTGCAAATACACATACACACATTACAGAATGTGTAAACTGCATACAAGGAAATTCTTAACAACAAACATGTATACCTATTAACATGCACCTCAGCCATTTCATTAACACAACGCCTTCTTTTTGACACTCGGACTTGAGAAAGCTGCCCACCTACTTGTTCCCTATTAATTGCCAACAAATCAATGCATATAAATTGCCAAAAACCCAGTTCCAGTTCAAAGGGCAGTTCAACCATTCAACTAAACCTATATGTATATATACTCAATCAACTACACCCTATCACTTACATGTGGTAAACTATTTGGGATAAGCGTTGATTGGCTCGAGAAATTCTGCTACAACTCTTGCGTGACAGCCGAGGAATTCCATATTGACAGTCTAACCAATTGTAAAATAGTAGTTCTCAGTAACAAGTACGTATTAGCCGTCAAATGAATGGAGCTTAACCACATTACAAAGGGCATATAAAACAATTAGATGATTTCAAGAGCAAGAGTACCCATAAATGTAGCTACAGGCAGTTGTTGTTAAATGTCGTATATAACAACAGAACACTTGCACTTTGTACTGCAATAATTATACTACGAGTCTGCATTCCAAAGAAAACACGAAACACTAAATGTTATAGATCCAAAAATGTGCAATACATACAGAGCCCTAGCAATCCCATAGTGTTTAACTTTATAGATACATAACGATGCTAATTAGATCCTAACAATAATAAGCTTTTACAAACAAAACACATAACTCAAACGAATAGCAGAGTAAGTAAACCTCCAATAATTCACTACAAGAAGCCAGATTTTTCATAGATATTGATAACAAAAGTATCTTTACACCAAAAGAAGTAGCAGTATTACACAAGCCACTTACATTACCCTAAGGTAAAGAGATAAGTACATATTCTATTTCTTTTCTACCCCACCAACAGATCAGCACGTGCATTCAAACCAAACACTACTTTCTTACATATCTAACAAAAGTACATCAAAATAAAACAGCAGTCAACCCAACAGCAGAACAACACTTTCTGCATACAATATCATACAATCCAAAAGTAACCGTCAATTGCTTGTAGCCCTACATAATGCAACCAAAAAGAAACCCATACATCTGCTACTGGTGACATACAATAACTAATTAGGCTTAGAACTATCAAACATGCGCCCCAGTTCCAGCAACCCAGATACAGCCTGGTCTGAGCTCCCTACATCTAGATCCTTTTCATAGGCTAACTACAAGAGCTTTTTACACTTTGCCGGAACAGCAGGCAAGCTGCAACTGTTAGGAACTTCTGACCCTTCACCAGCTGAAACCACATTATCCTCACAAACTCCAGGGTTCATGGCAGCAGGCTCCTGAGAAGTTTTCTCTAAGTGTTCCAAATGCCCCTTTAAAAGTAAGTACTTTTCCCTTAACAGGAAACACTCTCTACTCATCTTTGCTGTAGCCCCATAGTTAACATCAACAATTTCCAGATTGTACTTACAAGCCAGGTAAAAGACAGCCTTCTTTGCAACCCTCTGTTCAGCAACACTTGCCGTATTACAAGGATCGCTGAAAATACATTCCATCCCATTACTACTACGCGGGCTAGTAATCATAACCCAAGAGATAAAGCCATGACCTTCAACCCAAGTAGTTTCAATAACTGTTACAGATGCACCAGTTTTCCGCACAACAATGACTAATACTTGTGCATAGTCAATAGACACATGAACACCTTCAGCAGTAAAGCTACTCACAGAACTATTCCCTGTAGGTGGCTTATAGTTTCTGTTTTTCTCTTGCAGAAGCTCAGCACATTTGTTCCTAAATAGCTTCATGCACAGTTCATGCAGCCTAACCTGATCATAAGTAAAATCATCCACCTTAACACCATACAAGAATATTAGTTTTTTTACAGCCTTCTGAGCTGCCCTCTCACGAGATTCCTGGACCGTGCTTGCATCGCCACCAAAGAACAATAGGCGTGCTCGACTGTTTGGTTGAAAAATTTGCACCCAGACATTATTACGAGTGCTGTCCATGAACCCATAAACTGGAGCTGGGAATTGCAAGCAAGCTGTGATCTTGTGCAAAAGGGGCTCAAAAGGAATGAATACTTTGTTAGATTTTGCAGCCATAACCTGTAATGGTAACAACCACATCAACACTTAAATTCCTAACTAAAAGATAAGAGCTGTCATTCCCCCACATAGATTGACACTTTCCTCAGACTTAAATTTCTGACGAAAACAAAACACTTGCCATTCTCCCAAGCAACTCGACACCATACCCAAAGGGTTATAACAGACAGTATAAAATACACAAGAACTAACTATTAGCAGCTAGCAGACACATAGAAACACCAATAACTCAAAGAACGAAATACCGTGCAAAGAACACCACACTAACCAAATAATGTGACAGAATCAAGAAATGTCAGTATTCCTTCCTTTTTTATACAAATACTGCTCCTTTCCTTCCACTCAAAAACACATATAATCACCCATCACCTCAAACAAATAAGTATACAACCAAATTATACCAGTTAAGGAAATCATAATACCCTCCAATCAACAAGTAAAAGCATAAAGCAGCTGAAACAAAACACTTGAAACAAACATAACGCACCATTTATAAACCATAATAAAACTCGGCAAAACATAACTCACTGATTTAAATAGAAATCTAACACCATTACCATATAAGATCAGGACAATTCGAAAGTAACTTCCAAGCAGCAATATTAAAAGTACCCTCAACTCTTCTACCATACCTGTATTCATCCATGGAGGAAATAAAAAAGGGAAAAAAAAAAAAACAAAACAAACAGTATAAGCATTGCGCTGATGAACTGGCAATAACAATTTGAACCATCAGCCAAACAGAAAAACAAACAGGCAGTAAAACATTGTCACAAAAAGCTATACAGCAAAACAATTACAGGATCAATTTCATTCACAATGATCATGACAATAAACATATAATGGTATCATTCAAAAGCATTGAGACCACCAAAAAACAATTAAAATTAAAATTAAAATTAAAATGAATCGTTAAAAAAAAAGAATCAACAACAATCAGACACCAAAATAACAGACATGCAATAGAACAAGACCACAAGAATAATATGCTATGATGCTAATGCTTTAAACAAGCAACTAAGAACACCATAAGCAATTACAAGATCAATTTCCCAAAATTTAATTTTAAATAGCAACAATAATTATATATATATATATATATAAAAACAGCCAGGCCTTTTTTTTTTAAAAAAAAAAAAAATCCCCAAAATTTTTTTTTAAAAAACAAACCCAAAATTAAATGCACTTACAAATTAAAGAGACGATTACAACCCACAGTAACACAGAAAGGATCCACAAACACCATAAATGGATGGGTATGTGTGTGTGTGTGTGTGTGTGTATA